CTTCCTTCCCATAAACAGATCCTGTATAGCTGTGTCCAATCTGGCTGCCAACCTGCCTGGGAAAACACAAGGCAGAGCCATCTACACTGGCCACAGCAGCAGAGAGCACAGACTGCTCCATCCCAGCAGCAACACCAAAAAGGTAGGACCTGAGCTGAGGCTCCATGACTGCCAAGTGCTCTGCACTCYATGCCTTGCTGAAAAGCAGATGTAAACATATTTTTGTTCCCCCAATTTAAGGAATTTTTATGGCTTTGTCCTCAATTTTTCAACATGTTAGAGATGAGCACTTCAGTATGGGCCATTTGCTTCTTTTGAGGTCAAATATAACAATTAGCAACAATTCCATGGAAATTATTCAGAGTTATACAAAGAATTCTCTTGATCTTTGGGTATCTATTATTATGTAACTGTACTTCTACTAGTGCTGCACTGCACTCCCCTCCAGTTCTTTTGCATACTCATAGAGAAAGTGTGTTTGTGTGTGTAAGTGCCTGCATGTGTGTGTAAGGCAATAATAATAAATAMATAAAAMYATAAAAAATTAAATTTATCATTTTTAAGTAGTCAAAATATTACCAAAATAGATTTTGAAGTTTGGGAAACCACATTTGATAYGTTAAATAGCACAGCTTCTAAATACAGGAYGTTTAATAWTATTATATTAGTCAAACCTTCAACTCATTGCAGTTGTCTTACTCTTTTGGACTGTATGAATAAGTAAATTGAAATGTTAATGGATGAGATGGAAATCCACCATCCATGGTGTTTTGGTAGCCATTCTTATGGAACATGAGACTCCTGAAGAGTAAGGTCAAAATCAACAAGTAGCTAGTGCATTTATTTTCACCGTTGTTGTGGGAAAACATGGAAATGTGATAATGTGATTTTCTTATCCTCAGGTAATAGATTTTTAATGCATTTAAGATTTTTTTGTGTCTCTGTTCTATAATTTTCATATAACTAGACTACTGCAATTCTGCAGTACTACATTYAAGAGTGTTTTCTTACAGAGGGTATTTTGTAGCACATTTATCTTGACAAAAATTCACATTACTGAGGGGAGTTTTTGTGATGCCATTGAGCAACCAAAATGCAATTTGAACCACAGACTRAAAAGGAAAATGATAGCATGTTTCAGGGCAAGTATAGTGGACACCAGAACACCAAGGTGCAAAACTGTGTGATATATGRAAAAATATTGAAGGAAAGTAACATYACTGCATCTCAGAGATAATCAACACTTTTTTTCCCCAGGTTTTCAAGAAACTGGTTAAGATAGGAAAAAACRTATCTACATTAAATCAACAGAAGAAATCCTTCCTGCACTAAGAGGTTGCTAACCTTCATCTCCATAGAAAGTTATAACTGTCTTTCACTCTAAGAATTAAGTGCTAAATTAAAAACAAAAACATTCGTTGATTGATCAGACATTCAACTCTTTTCTGAAGTTCCAGGTCTGCTTTAGTATTCTCAACACAAATAATTTTTAATTTAATTCCCTCAGTATTTGAATCAGTACATTTTGTCAGGACAAAGTTCACTCACAATACTAATTCTCTCATATAATTTTGTTTGTATTATCGTCACCAGTGTCTAGCAGCAGTGGGACCCTTCAGGAACAGGAAATTTATTCAATTTCCAAATTGGGCCACATATTTCTCTGTACAAAATTGATAGTTTGCATCAAGATCAATCAGAAGTGCCTACCTTCAAAGARGASTGAAAGTTTTGGGGTTYTATTACTCAGATATGAAAACCACTAAATTCCTAAATGAATAMAGTTTCAAGAACAGTTTAAAAATCACTTCAAGGAAAGTGGAGCCTTGAGGAATTATGAGACCTTTTCTTAAACTGGTATGCTAAACTGTTTTTTCAAGYGCATGATGCCATTCGCTGAGCTAAAAATGTTACACTTCATTACCAATGGCCAAATATTACTTAGAGATGTATAAAGGACAACATGGATGATTTAAAAGAAGGAAGTTTGAAATAACTTCTCTGTAATAGTATCTTTGGATGTGWATTATGAGTCTCAGCTTGAGAGGTTTTTTTTTGTGGTAACAATAATGAAARCTTTAACCTAAACTCAGTGGTCTACTCAGACACCACTGACTACAAGTTCAGCCTTCTAACTTCACACTCGTTCTTCTCARTCACCTTATTCAATGTTTGGGAGGTATTCAGAATATCTGCACCCAGATAAACCCATATTCTTCCCAGCTGCATGAGAAGAGACAAAATTTCCAGTTGTTTTGACACAGACTTTTTCAGAAATTAAGTTTATGGCCATTAATCACCTCTGATTGCTTTAATAGGGTCATTTTGAATGTGAAGATGTCTTTTCAAGTTCATAAATTTTCTTGATAATTTTATGCCTGTGGCTTGTGTATCATAATTATGACAATTCATCCAGACAGCATTATGTCATAAATTATCACATTTTGCTTGGCATGAGCCTCACTACTGATGAATACTGCCTCTTTTATTTAAATAGGTAACATATCTTAAGCCCAGGATTCAATATCCAAAATAAAGGAACACTTAAAAAAACCCCTAACATGTAGATGAGGAATGAGGACTGGATTTTTCCTAATGATTTGGGATGCAACTCTAATTGAAAGAGAAAAAAATCCATGTTACCCTACACTTTGAAGCATTTTTGAAAGCCCAGTCTAAAAATAAAAAAATAAATTCTCACATCAAGCATTAGATTACAATACTTTATGAAAGATTTCTAATGACACAGAAATATTTCACTTAATACTCTGCTTGTATAATGAGTCTGAGGAAAAAAACAAGTAAACAGTAACTTTTACTTTAAAATTAGCCTAGCTGGAGAACTCTCTGTGACAAAATCTATAATGTTTAAGATGAAATCTATATAATATGAACGATTAATATTTTGTGGAAAAACCATTACGTTTGATTATAAGCCAGMTGATATGAAAAATATTATGAACACATCCCACTGCTCTTGAAGGTAATTAGTTCTCAGGCTTTTAAACTTGCACACGCTTATATTTTACATATGAGTAGCTCCATTGAAATTAATCATGTGTATAAAATCAAATTAAACTAATTTACACAGATTACACACCAAATCAAATAATGTTAAACACCAAGTCCTTAGCAAATAAAAAACCTTCTCTAAAAAAMCAGCCCATTCGATACAAAGTGACTGCATATTTTTTATAGAATAGGCTGCAGCTAATCACTTCAATCTTTAATTACTGCAACAGATAATGACTATTTTGAACATATGCTTCTCTGCCCTGCTAGAAGACATGAATGAAAGAGAAACAAGTTCATATGCATGATACTGTGTGTGCATGTTGGGGGAGGCTAAAGAGCAAAAGGAACCAAGTGGCAACAATTGGAGGAAATGGTGTCTGTAACAGCTGCTCCTTTCAGATTCCCCTAGAAGGAGACTGCCTGAGGTGGACCACGGCACAAAGGGATAAAGAAGATGAAAACTGATGCAAAGCAGGGAAATAACTGCTGAGACCCCTGAGTCTACATCCGAATAGTCCCAAGCTGTGTGGCAAGACCTCTTTAGCATGCTACAGAAGCTGGTGATGAACTACATATTACCATGAGGCAAACTGGCTCCTAGCAGTATTGTCTGCATGTTATGTGTAATGATAACCAGTGGGCCCCTGGGAACAGCAGGCAATGATTTCATCTCCGTAAGCATCTGAGCTCCCTTGGATACAGAGACCATTAAACTGAGAACAGAAGGGTAAATTTTAGGCAATGATTTCCTATTGGAGAGTGAAGACAACTTGTGCTCAAGAGCAGTGTCAACCACTGATATTTTACTGCTGTCTATATTGATCACTGTAAAGGACAAAAGGAGCTAAAACTGCACCTCTTTTTCTTGGTTCCATAGAACACATTATCCTTTTTGAATAAAGATACTTAATAAGCTTTTAATATAATATTATTCATAATGCCATTATATTAGAAAATTCCACTGTGTTATTAACACTGAAAAGCACTGTTAATAAGCACCATTACTGGTAAAATAATATTTTATATGCTTAACATAATGTATCATTTGTTTTGGTACTACAGAGATCTTGCCCCTGTACATTGCTTTCCTTAATTGTCAGGTGTTTTTGTAGAACTAAAAACATTAGGCMCAACCTATTAGTCATATATTTAAAATTAATAGTTGTATATTACAAAATTCAGGGTTTCAGAAGCTTCCTTAAAAAGAAAATCTGCAAGCAACAAAAAGAAATGGAACTCCCAAATGTAACTTTTTGACAGGATTTTTAAGAGGATCGCAGAGGACTCTGACTGATGACTGGTGCAAAAGAACCAAGTTGCTCCTTATCCTTCCTCTCACACTGACCTATGCAAAAGAACCAAGTTGCTCCTTATCCTTCCTCTCACACTGACCTATGAAGAAGTGTGGAAACCCTCCTTCTAGACTAGAACTCCACATTACAACTATCACTGTCTTAGAATTATGAAGGCTCAAGGGAAACATCAGAAGAGGAGCTTGAACACAAGTATTCACAGCAAGAATTGCATCCAGCATTACAGCTTTTCAARAGAAATTAATATTTCTTCTAAATTACTGATGTGCTAACAATCTGAGWGTGTGAACTAATATATTTTTCATTGTTGCTCACAAATATATTGTAGCAAGCGAATTTGCAAAACTAGTGTTTTATACAAAACCCTAAATAGATAAGAGACTATTTTGTATAGGCAYGTACAGCAAAAGGAAAGCCAGTGASATATAACCTGAATTGTCAATTTTTATTATGTCTACAGATCCAAACATGGAAACCYGGACTCCATAATTTCTGGAATTTATTGGAACCACAAGTACTTGAGCCACATGGATCCCTGCCTAGAGAACTAGATACAGTTATAAAAGACCTGTGAGCCAAGTCTGTCTAAGTTTTTTTCCACTCTGCAAATGCCTAAGATGCCAAAGAAGCAGAGAAAGGCATTGAGAAAGCAAAAGCACAGAATGAACTTACTGTTAATGCTGTSTCATCTTCTCCAGAATAATGGTACGCTAAACTTAAGCAATAGGCGGCTTCTCCTTGCATCTTTGTATCACCTCCTAAAAAAAGGAGTAAAGTTACAAGCATGATCTGAATAAAATCACATCAGTACAGGCAGCTCTTGCAGGTTCTTAAGTAACATAGATGCTAAAATACTGTAATAATTTTTTTCCTGACATATCTGTCTTTCAAAAAACACACAGTGGTAAATAAAACTGGAGGCAAAAGATTCTAACAAAGTTCACCAAGAAAGTTCAACAAAGCCCGAAAAAAKGCCCTTCAGTAATGAAGTACAATCAAACTAACACATGTAAGGTACTCTGTCATTAATTGTTTAATAATGGTCCTCGTGTCTTCACATTAGAAAATCMTAGTAGTCTCTATATTCTCAATTTAAAATTAGCTATAAATACATAATAAACCCTAATATATATAARCACAAAATGTATCTTAACCCATGCATTTTGCTAATGTGAATCTTAGTGAAACACCAACAGAGAATACCAATAGATCAGATCCATCTTTTACTCTTCCGCCTGTACTACAAGCTACTATGGATTAAAATAACTAACAAAAATGGGTAACTTATACTTGCAAGCAGTACTTAGAGAAAACTGTGTACATGCTGCTGCTAACTAAGATGCATCACACCTTTCCATGCCAGGTTTTATTTCACTGATACTGGTCTAACAAAAACTGCTTGCTGGTCCTTTTGCAAAGCTTCCTCAAGTGAGAATTATCTATWTGATGCCAAAATAAATATAAACTAATGATGTAAGTTCTTAAAGTATCACACTATATTCCAAAATTTCCCTCCAGAACAAAAGTAGCCATAAAAACYCTTTACAYRAAATTTAATTAAAAAAAGCYAAAAATGCAGTCWWTMTCTTGTTCAATMTCCATCTGCTCCAACACAATCAACMTGAAGCACAGCTGCATATCAAGGTRTTTTGTAAAATACATAAATAAACATAGTTAAGATGAAAAGGGAGATTATCTACTTACATTTGTCAGAATAATCTGTCTGTCCAAACACACAGAAGCCTTTATCTAGTTCTGAAACTCCCTGAATGATGATAATTGCTGAGGCAAGGGCAATGCTCTATCTATAGTACTTAAGATGTTACTTAAAATTATCAAAAGCCTGTAACTCAAAAGCCTGTAACTCAAAACCCTGATGGTCTTTTCTGGTATTCACTATCCTTTAAAAGACTTAATAAACCAAAAGGATACAGCAATTCTGTTTCACAGAAGAATAAGTTACAAGTTCCAAGTGACATAAAGAACTTWCTTTCTTGCTTAAGAAGAGTTTGAGGGTCTGAGGTGGGTAATATCTAAACCTAATTAATAAAATACATAAACACAGATGACAGTCCAGAAGGACAGAATGGACATTACAGATAATATCCAGTAGCCAGTATCACTCTGGAATGAGGACTGGAGAATTTGTCAGAAAGGTCCTAAAGCTTAAACTTAAAGAGAACAACCGCACGTTTGTTGTACATAATGATAAGTGATGCATGCCTCAGGAAGCTGTGAAAGTGACTGATTTGAAATTAGGACACCAAAACGTGCGCCTSGTCAAAATCAGTTTTGGAAAGACATCAGATCCATTTTGACAYTCTTGATATTCAGCAGTTTTCACCAGCAATAAGAAGACATTGATAGGGAGTTTCATCAATGGCCCTTCTAGTTACTACACTAAAGAGGAGCAGTTTTACTGCAGCTGTGATTTAAGCATATATTATAGACAACAGCTATAGAAAACACAAAAGTTTGTATTATGACCTGTACAGTCATAATGTTATTTGTTGCAAAACTTATTTTAAAATTTGAAAAATATTTTAGTTTTTTCCATTTTGATAGTTTATCTATTCCAACTACTAYTCAAAGACTGGGTCACAGATTATTATTGTTCACCATACATTATTAAATTAAGAAACCTCATGTTATGTGCTGATATATCTTGAATTAATATACATTTAAACAAAAACCTTCTTCATTGTGAGGGTGTTTGAACAGTGGCAAATCTACTCCACAGTGGTTATGGTTAAGTGTGGAAACACTTAAAACTTGATTGGATATAGGCAGCCTGCTCTTAACAATCTTATGATTTCCAAAGGTCTCTCTTCCTACCACCAGTATTCTGTAATTCTCTAATTTTTTACTTTAGGTTTCAAAGTATTTATGTGTATTAAGATAGAAAATTTTGTTTGCTTATGATAAAAATTTGCTTTTTTCAAGTACTAAATAACTAYATAAAGTGAAAAGGTAACTTTTCTSCAGCAGATAACATCAGTCAAAAATTGCCAAATCAGCAGCGGCTAGCCAATCAAAATCAGTGACCCAAGCTTCTATCAGTGACCTCACTTTCTGATTATGGGTTCACAGTTTTATATTATTATTCCCATAARGCTGTCAGGGATAAAGCTTTTTTCAGAGATAAAGCTTTGAAAAACATAAAACTTTCTTTACTGTCAGCAAGAAGGCATTTCTGCTTTAGTGAGATCTGCATGTGTATTGGTAGCATTTGCCTTTGAATTTCATCGGAAAAAATTACCCAGTTAAACCCTTGACACTTTCTACTTTACTCATGGGAAAATCATGGCATGCACATCGAATGAAGGAATGGAAAAACATTATTTTCCACCTACCTTCTTTTGCCATCTTTAAGGCTTTTTTTAGCATTTTGATGGCCTCTTGGTGTTCTTTATTTTCTAGCATTTTGTCTGCTATTAATGTGTAAATTCTCCAGAGATGCTGACATGCTAGTGAATTGTAAGTTTGGCCTGTCTCATCCTTCCATGGTGTGCCCTCTGTCAGCTGATAAAATGTTTCATAATGCTTAGCAGCTTGTGTGACAAGACCTGAAAAATGTAATTCATAATTTAAATCAGTGCAATCAACAAGAATTRTAAAAGTTAGTAGTCTATAATAACTATCATTAGAAGTAAGTCGCAGCCAAATATTCCACAGATTTTTCTAGACTCTTCAGTACATAACTCAAAGATCACTGGAAATACTGCCAAATTTCACAGTACTCAGTAACASTCTAATTTACATTAGCTTTCCTTTGTAAATTAATAATGTTGAAGGGGTGTGATTCCACAGATGCAATGTTAGAATTTTCTAGATTTTTTTTTCTAGATTCAGATAGACTTCATACATCAAAMTCACATCTATGCATAAATAATCACAACTGAAACCATTCCTCAAGTTCCCTTTTCCTTGAAAATCTGTACTGAAAGATGTGAAATGTGGAGGGTAAAGGTACCAAAACTGTGCAGAAAAAAAAATCTCATTCAAACCAATTAATTGATGAAAAAAAGAATTATCATCCAAAGTATTTTATTTAATAGTTATTGCAAGGCCAGTGCTGGTGAGTTTATCTAGTAGATTTACWACAAGAGCATTAACCATTGATAGATTAATCACTGAGCCTGAAGTAATACACTCCAAGGTCTTCAAATGTAAGTTATTCAAACACCTTTAAGGCAAAGRAAAGTATGAAGATAGAATTAAATTCATTTTCACATGCAAGTAGTTTTCTTTCACTTTCAGCTAGATTTATTTCTGTGCACACAATTCAGTCTAGGAGATTTCCATGCTTGCTGAACAATGGAAATTCAAAGTTTTTGGAAAGAACAGAAAAGCTTCTGGGARGCAGGTAAGATAAGAAYACTTMTATTTAAAAATATTTTAAAACCCAATTCTGGTCACAGTATCTTGTTTAACAAAGACTATCCTCTAGCAGGGAGAACTGTGAATGTGACCCTGCCTTCATAAGTTTGTGTGTGTGTGATGGAGGAATCTTGTCCGATAAATCATCAATATATCCACTGCTATTTCTATTAAAAGCTGAAACAAACCATTCATAAAAGTTCATTTAGGTGTTTGCATCTTCTGAAATGCAATTTATAAGGAACTATTGCTGCTTTGCATTTTTTTTTTTTTACAGTGCTGCATTCAAACTGCAAAAAGAATTAGGAAGGTGGAAAGTTTTTTCCCAGTTGTAGGAAAGGAAGGGAGAAAAGCTTGGAGAAGGATCTTCTTTAAGCATTCCTAGAGAAAATGAGGTTATCTCCCCAGGCCTCCAGCCAACCTAGAGGCAGCAGAACAGCTTTGACAGATTTCTCTTATTAACTCAATTTAGATTTGTCTTTTGCATATGTTACCCCTTTATAACCATGCTTTCAACTTTGCAATATAAAACATAACTCATCTTTATTAGAATTAAATTTATTTTCATATTAAGCTTCTCTGATGATTAAAATGAGTTCAACTAAAGCTGACAAGTACAAGAAACTCCTCTTTCAAAGATGCAATGAATTAAATGAGTGTCATAGACAAATAATTTTATGGCTCTACAGCCTACAATTTGTGTAAGAGTCCCAGAGAACACAACAGGTGCTGAAGAGTGCAGTGCCAGGTGAAAGGGGAGACACTAGAGTTTATTCAGTTYCATTCTAGCCAGGGACAGATATTGGAGAAAAGGCCCAAAACATTGGCAAAACAGGAAAAATTCTATACATTCTTTCCAAAATATCACACACTTTCAGACTGCACRAATAGAAGGGCAAAGGGAAATTGGCATAACCAGTACAAGCTCTTTATGGGCTCCCTGACAATACATGTAACAGGAAATAGAGATGTACATTTGTTAAAGACAGATAAAAACTATTGTCCATTCTTAAGAAGTTTCCAATTTGATATTTTTCCTATCCAGTTCAGCTAYCTTTTTAGGACAGAGTCATCTCAGAAGTCAATAGAATTACAGTTATCCAAGTTGCCAAATGCAGATTTAGCATACTGAAGAAGCTCTTGTTGGCTTTGTGACAAATGACTGAAATTTAAGTTGAAATTTAATATTAATAGTTAGATCCAGCATTTTGTACATTTTGATTCTTTTAAGCACATACAGATTCCCTCCTTGGAATTTCCCCTGAAGTTCATGAATACATAGATTGCTCTTTTGAAAGGGTATTGTCATATATTTGAGTATATTTACTACATGTAAATGAGCATATTTACTACATGTAACAGAATTTGATTCATCTGATACTCAAAAACTTCAAGTAAGAATGGGAAGCAGCAAACAAATGAGCGGTATCACCTTGAAGCTGAACACAGTATCTGAGTTTCTCCTAAGATGCTGTAACCTGAGCYCTTAACAAGACACATCATTTTGGTAAATAATACTTGCAATCTTAAGAACTACTGTTCAGGTTGTTAGAACTATCAGGTTTGGTGATTCTTACCCAAGCTTYCTTTCTCGCAGCATCCCCTTGAGAAAGTTTCTGTCAGACTAGAAATCAAACTCATACATTTTCTTTACCCCATAGTTCTCAAGCGTTGACCTAACCATAAGAGCTGTGACCTGACATTCCTTTTTCAGATYGCAGTGAAACCTCTTTGGAAACAATTGCTCTACATCAAGCTTCAAAATACAAAAGCAATATGATTTTTTTTGGTAATATTCAAATGGATCTATATTACATTTGGCTTCACTGAATTACGAAGAAATATTATGAAGTAAAAAGGGAAACAATCTACTCACATAAATACTACAAAGAAATGCTGAGCAAAGCGCCAAAATACCTGCTAGTTTCCTAAACAAGGAAGAGATGGAATTCCTGACATGAAAGCCCCTATATGACAGGGAATTTGAATACTGAAGACTCTTTCAAATAAAACTAGCTATTTGGAGACTTCTCAAATTCATGGAAGGTAAAGMATTTTAGACTTTGGAATTCATTCTTCCATTAAAATAACCTGAAATCCCTTGTTGCCATTGGCAAATGATRTATCAGCCTATTTATTTAATCCATAATGCTTACGTGAAACTCAAATGTTGTGGGAAAATAATCTTCTCAGAGGGCTGGCAACTTCATTCCCTGCCATGAGTCAGTTCACCTGGAATTGATCTGGCTAGTGCATTCCAGTTTTTAAACACTAAACTTGGCTGCAGACATACATAGAACACTGTCTGAAAATCTTGAAAAATATTCTAAAAAAAGAAATTAGCCAATTGCAGAACATTTCTGAAAAGAAGAATATTTTTATCTCACACAGGCTGTGACAAGGCAGTTTTAAAATACTTTTTTATGAACTGAAAAAAAAAAACCCAACAAAAAAAAAAAGAAATGAGAGGAAAAACCATGGAGTAAGAAAATCAGTTGAAACTGTTTGCAGAAATGTATTTTTATAGGTCTAGAAATTCAAAGAGAAAATCCAGAAGGTGCTTCTAGGAGATCCACATTTAAAAAATCTATTTGCGGAATGTTACACAAAGCAGTAAAGCTATTTTCAGTTGGCAACATTAATAGCAATTGCATATTTGTTCTCACACAGCCATGCAGAATTTATCTCAGTGGATATCAAATGGAATTGGAGAATCCCTTSTTACAAAAGAATCAAAAACCAGAGTGGTAACTCTTACAATGTATGATCTACCACTACCAAAATTTTTCACTTTTATAATTTTTTTATGGTTTAATATTACTCAGGRCATAACAAAAGAAATYCTATCAGCAATAGWTTAATCTTAAATACAGAAGGCAAAYATTGTCAMAATATCATTTGGGGAGTAAAAAATCAGTTTTAAACAATTGTATATGAATATAAGGCATTACTCTACACAAAGATTTTGCTACAATTTTCACAGAGTTACTTCAAAGTGAACTAAAATATCTATTCATTCAAGGAAAAGAATTCAACATAATTTTGTAAATACTGAAGAGAAATGTTTTTCTATCATCTAAAAGTTCATTTATAAGCCTCCTGCTTAAAACCCAATCCAAAAAGATTTTTCATATCAAAATAGGTATCCAACCTAAAGACCACTATTTTGCCTTTTTTTTTAAGTAGAAAGATTGACTAGATATTAACACAAATGGGTTTAAATGTGAAGCTGCCATAAAAGCAGGCACATAAATGTAATTCTCCCAGCCGCTATTTTGATGCACATTTTTGATTCCATGAATATTTTATGAAATGGCCCAAACTAAAGCCATATAACATTCCTGCATTACTGATGCTTGCGCCCGTAAGCTACAAACATTAGAGGCATGATTGAGTGCATTAAAATGAACTCATTCAGCAGTGCATTGATTACTTGAAGGAGAAAAAAAAAAGTTACTCCCACTTAAGAAAATAGCATACAAACCTGAAGTTTTCAATACTGAAATTAAAGATGCAAATTTGAATAATGTGGTATTTAATAAATAAAGGCAGTGCAAAACTATCTGGAATTCTCTACATACAGTCCTGACTTTAATTAGGTGAGATGTTAATTAGGTCYACAGATTGCTTCCAGTAGTGTACAGGTAATTTAAAATGTCACAATCTGCAAAATGCAGTGACTGACCTGCTCTAGCTCCATGCCTCAGCAATACTGAGAGCACCTAATGATTTCCTTTTCTATCAGCTCATATATTTGCCAATGAAAATAATGCCACAGAAACAACTGCACAAGTGACAGGTCTTAGGTACCCTGCCTCAGCAGCACCTCTGTAAGCAGAAAGCACATTTAATTCTAAATGGAAAACAGTTGTTGAGGGTTTCAGAAAATATTCCATTGTAGATTAAAACAACAACCAAAAGGAGTAATGAACATTGAGTATATTACAGTATGTTTAATCTAGAGTATCTTTTACCATCAGATWATTCACCATACAATGAGAACACAAAATCTAGTTGAAGCATCAGTTAATGGTAATGAAAMCCAAAAATGCTATTATCTTTCAAAAGATATATGGTTACATTTCAGTCTAACTGCTTGAACTACTTGTATTGTGCTCAATTTCTATCAAAAGTTATGACAATTATGGTAGCACTATTCATGCTGAAATACTTAAGAGACTGCCAC